ACCGCCATTCTCTGAGAATCGGGGTCACCATTCTTGAATTTACCATGTGTGTTTGAAGGTCTTATGTGAAACTGTTGAAATTCCAATGTGTGTTTGGACCCTGACGTCACGATCTGCGTGAGGGGTGCCACGGATTTTCAGAAATTCGAGGATGTCCCTAGCGAAACGGCCAGAACAATCGCGGACGCGTGCGCATTAATTGCCTCTAATCTGTACTCCCTCGGAGAGGTGCGTATGATAGTATATATATATATATATATATATATATACATATATATATACATATAGAAATATGTGTATATATATAGAACTATATATATATAGTCATAGCCACCGCCTGTGGTGGTCCGCGAGGATCGATCCCCGAGGCGGTGGTTATGGATGGATCCCCGCCTCGGAATTCCCACAGGTCCAGGCCCTGTCTGCCGCGCACGCCCGAGGCGGGTGCGGACAGAAAAAGACACGATGCCCAGCAGCAAGCTTTGTGGGGGGGAGGAGGAGGAGGAGGAGGAGGAGGAGGAGGAGGAGGAGGAGGAGGAGAGGAGGAGGAGGAGGAGAGGCGGAGGCGGAGGAGGCGGAGGAGGAGGAGGGGAGGAGGAGGAGGAAGGATAGGAGGAAGAATAGGAGGAGGAGGAGGGGACGAGGAGGACGGAGGAGGAGGGAGGAGGACGAGGAGGAGGAGAGGAGGAGGAGGAGGAGGAGGAGGAGGAGGAGAGGGAGGAGGAGGAGGAGAGGGGGGAAAGGGGGAATGAGGAGGGAGGAGGAGGAGAGGAGGAGCAGGAGGAGGAGGAGGAAGGAGGAGGAGGAGGAGGAGGAGGAGGAGGAGGAGGAGGAGGAGGAGGAGGATGGAGGAGGAGGTTGTCCAAGACCGACGGCTGCCGCTGCTGGGCAAGCGCGGTCTTCTGTCTCGTGTGGGCACCGCCAGCGGCGGTGCCCACAGCGAGCCCCGTCCGGAACGGACAGGAGCGACGGCCAGTCGTCTTCCACATGTCTTCCGTATCCATGTCGAGCGCACCCGACCTGCCCGTCAACCCCACTCCTCCTCGCCCTCCTCCTCCTCCTCCTCCTCCTCCTCCTCCTCCTCCTCCTCCTCCGCCCAGCCCCCCTCCCCCCCCTGGAATCCCGAGCAGCCTAAGATGACGTCGATGAACCTTTCTGATGGGGGGGCCAACGGAATGGCGGAGGCCTCTGCAATAAAGGCACCAATCGCAATCTCAACATCTTGGATAGCACCAGGGCTCGCATGCAGGGGGAAGTCATGAGCATAAGACTTTAGCTCGTGTTCCGCGCTCCTCAGGTCAGGGAACATGTCCACAGGAGTGTCGTCTGTGTCCTGGTCTCTGCAATACTTCGTCAAGGCCCTTGCGGCGGCTGCAAGAATCTGTTGGTGAGACTGGGATTCCGTGGAGTTCACAAATGCTAGAGCATGAAGGTCTTCACCGAGCATCCGTCGCAATGCAGGGAAGGCATCCTTAATAGCTGCTGATCCCAATATCGTCAAAACTTCTGCGGCGTTCTGGCGCGTCTCGGATTCCTTTCCCGCAGCCAGCCTGGGCATAACACTTGCTGCTGCGTGGGCGACGACGTCGGCGCCAGCCATTCGTAGAGACTTGGCGGCTGCCCCGCGAACCAGGGCATCAGAGTCCTGCAGCAGGGCCTCCAGCTCAGCCGTGACCTGGACCACGGCCTCGGGGCCGCCACCGCTTCCGATGCTGTTCGCGGCCCTCACGCGGACCGCGGCCTCTTTGTCCCGCAGCCTGGCCTTCAGCTCGCCCATGACCTGGAGCACGACCTCCTTGCCGCCATGCCCGATGGCCTCTGCAGCCTGCTCTCGGGGCTTGTGGCTTGTGTCCGTCAGCGCAACCTTCAGCACGCCCAGAGCCTGGAGAACGGCCTCACGTCCACCCGCGCCGATGGCCTTCGCGGCTTTGCCACGCACCTTGGCGTCCCTGTCCTGGAGGAGAGCCTTCAGTTCGCCCATGAGTTTGAGCACGGCTTCGGGGCCACCACGCCCAATTGCCAGCGCAGCTGCGCCTCGGGCCTCGGCATATCCGTCCTGCACAAACGCCTTCAGACCGTCCAAGGCCTGGAGCACGGCCTCGCTGCCGCCCACCCCGATGGCCCACGCTGCGTTGTCGCGGACAGGTCCATCTTTGTCCTGCAACAAGGCCTTCAGTCCGCCCACGGCCTTGAGCACGCAATCAGGGCCGCCGCGCCCGATGGCCCAAGTGGCGGCCGCGCGGACTTTCACGTCCACATCCTGCAGCAAGACCTTCAACTCGCCCACGGCTGGGCGTACGGCCCCGCCCTCCTTGCCGCCGCGCCCGATGGCCCACGCGGCTTTCATGCGGACCCCTGGATCCTTGTCGTGCAGCAGCGCCTTGAGCTCGCTTGCCGCCTGGTGCACGGCCATGGAGCGGCCTGTCCCGATGGCTGACGCAGCGTTCTTGCGGACCCCGGCGTCTGCGTCCTGCAACAGCGCCTTCAGCTCTCCGACGGCCTGGAGCACGACCGCGCTGCCGCCCGTCTCCAGGGCCATCGCGGCGTTCCTGCGGACCACTGCGAACGGGTCCTGCAGCAGCTCGTGGAGCTCACTGGCGGCCTGGAGCACGGCCTCGGGGCCGCCGCCCTTCAAGGCCGCCGCAGCCGCTGCGCGGACTGAATGGTCTACGTCATTCAGCAACGCCTTCAGCGCGTCCACGGCCAAGAGCACGGACTTGCCGCCGCCGCGCCCGATGGTCGATGCGGCATGCTTTCGGACGCCTGCGTCTGCGTCACGCATCAGGGTCACCAACTCGCCCACGCCCTCGAATACGGCCTCGCTGCCGCCTCTCATGGAGGACGTCGCGCTCTTCTTCCGCTCTCTGGCAGTCTCGTCTGACCCTCGGCTTCGGGAGCTCGGCTTCACTGCCGCCTCACTGTGTCCCTCTTGAGTTCGGCCAAGCCCTCCCCCAGATTCTTGCATCCCGGTCTGGAGCATGGCGTCGCTGCCGCCTATCCTGATAACTGGCGTGGCACCTGCGTCCTGCAGCGGGTCCTTCGGCTCGCCCGCGACTGGGAGCACGTCCTTACGGCGTTTCCCGATTGTCCATGCTGCCCTCTTCGGGACCCTGTCCATCTGGTCTGCGAACAGGCCCCTCGAGTTTGTCACGTTCCGCCAGCGCTGAAACAGTGCGGGAACAGGGGTGTCGCCCGAAGAGCTTGGGGCTTCTGCGAGTGCAGCTGGGCGCAACCCAGAGCTTTGCACGATGCGCGGAGTTGCGGGGTCCTTCGCCAGCGGCTCGAGGTCAGCACGACTGCGGGCTGGGGACAGCACCTGGTGACGGTACCCCACTGCGACGGCGACTACGCCATCTTGAATAAGGTGCTTGCCAATATCCAGCCGGGACCGGTCAGCAACCGTGATGGGCCATGAGGTCGCCCAAAGCACAAGAAGGTGTACGCTTCTCATGAACACTGTGGGCACCCTACAATGAAGCGTATGTAATGTAGTTCGCAGCATCACATGCTACAACTCGGACGGAGTGCACGAACTCCGTCGTGCGAAAACCGCTGGAGCCGTGAGGCTGCAAAGAATGCGGACACGTTCACGCACGCCCCGACGGGAGAAATTTTGCTGTTCCTAGAGGACAACAAAAACAAACTCACCTTCCGAAGGTCCGCGCAGATGTCTTGGATCTGCGCTGACCCCCGGCCCTGTCGCGCGGAGCGCGCCAGGGGCGGCGCCAGAGGCACCGATCCAGGGGGGCCAGGCACCGATCCAAGAATCCGCGCGGAGCTGTTAAAGTTTATGTGTTTGCGTGCGTGTGAGTGTGTGTGTGTGTGTGCGCGTTTGTGTCTTTGTGTGTGTGCGTGTGCGTGTGCGTGTGCGTGTGCGTGTGCGTGTGCGTGTGTGTGTTTGTGTTTGTGTGTGTGTGTGTGTGTGCGTGTGCGTGTGCGTTTGTATGTGTATATGTGTGAGTGTGTGTGTGTGCTTGTGTGTGTGCACCCTGAGTGGGATTATGATGTGCTGTTTCTGGCGCCCGTCGAGGGGGGGGGGAGGGGGCATCTACCTCTGCTGTATTATGCAAAAGGAGCTTTGCTTCCAAAGCGTTCCCTGTTGGGAGCAGCGGGGAGGAGTATTTCCTCAGATGTTATGGGTGGTGTGTGGCTCTCTTGGAGGGTGAGGGGGGTGGGGGGACGGGTGATTCCACCGAGGGGGCATGTCGGCACTGGAAGGACGTTCTAGGATGATGATGGAGAGTGGGGGAGTGTGGAGAAGATTAGGATGAGGGGGGCGGTTAACCCTGGCGTTTGAAGGAAGCCCGAGGCGGGCATTACAACTGGCTCGAGATAGAAAAACTGTCCGTTGCACTGTCATGATTTAGGCTCCGCCGCATTGCACGGCAGTGGTTCCTGGCACCACGCCGTAGCAATATCGAAACCATGGCACTGCATCGCGTTGCATCGTACGCATTGTATACTGCAGCACCACATTACACCACACCACGTCAAATTTCAGGGCGGCGTCACGAACTGCACTTCATGACACGATGGCGCACTACGGCATGAAACTCACAACATCGCTGTGAGCAGTATTCCAATGACATGCGTCAAAATGCGCGGCTGACATTACGTGATACACCGTTGTAGAGACGTCGTCCTGCTCGGAACAACGATTCAATGGCGCACTGTGGTCCGAACGGTGCCAGCATAGCACGACCCAACACCTAACCACGTCACGCCACATTGCATTATGGATTGACGCGTCGACATATTGTCGTTGCACGATTCTGCAACACGGCATGGCGCACTGCACACCATCGCACTGCAATGTGTTTGAAGTACACACGGTCGCCACGTACGGGAATTTCGCATAACTGGCTTTCATGCCTCTGGCACTACGTGCCACACCTTCTGTGGGGACACCGTCCTGCTCGGAACGACGCTCACGTGGCAGACCAACGACCTGCGAGGCGCCGCCGCCCGGTGCCCGATCGATCGGCAATGAATCTTGGCGG